AGCACGGAGCGAAAGAGGCGGACAGGCCCGGGGAGGGCGGTTCGAGCTGCCCAGCGGGGCAAGAGTGCCATTTCGGGCACGAGGAAACAGGGAGGCGAAAGGGCATCGGGCAGACGCGCAGCTACAGCACCCTGAACACGATATGTTCTCTACGCGTGTGCGGCCTGTGAACGCACAACGATCGCTCCAGCTCGCGTTCGCGCCCGGCCTCCCGGGGAGGTACATATGATCTGCACCGAGAGCCCACTTCCCCGCTTTTCGCTGACCGCCACTCGCGCACCCGTCTGCTGCCCCCGGAGTGGCACTTTCTCCCCGATCCTGTCATCACGCTCGCTGCCACACACGTATCAGACACCTACCTTCCATCACCACCTACGACTGTTGAGCAAGATGTTCTACACGCCCTCCCCCGAGCCGACGTACTACCCCCAGCACGCCTACCCGTACTCACCCAAATACTACCGCGACGACCTCTACTCGGCTGCCTCCTCAAGTTCTTCCCATACCCACCCACATCCGTCCATGCGCCGCTCGCGGACGGTGGGCACGCCATACGTCCCCGACTACGAGTACGGCTACGACGCTTCCGACGCCGAGCCTCTCGCACGTATGCCACACACCTACGCATGGGTCCTCGACCAGCAGATAGCGGAGATGGTGAAGGCGAACGAGGAGACGGTCCGGTGGGTGCACGTACAGCAGACACGCGACAACCTCCGCGAGCAAGTCGGGTACCGGATACTCGCGTCCGGTCGGCGCGGGTTCCCCACTTTCGAAGAGGTCCTCCTGCACCATCCCGAGGCGCGTGCGCGGTGGGCGGAGTCGCAGAAGCGGTGGAGGAGATGGGAACACGAGGCGGAGGAGACGATCGAGGACGAGCTGCAGCGGCTGCAGGAGTACCGGCGGCAGATGGAGCGGCACCGCACCGCGTACGACCGACGGAAGCGGCTGGACGACGAGAAGGAGCGCGTGCGGCGGGAACGCGAGCGCGAGGCGATGCGGAGCAGGAGGCAGGAGGCGGAGCGGGATGCGGGGCGACGATACGAGGCGCGGTGGGCGGCACTCTTGAGCTCTGAGGAGACGCTCGGGTTCCGCGATATCCCGTGGCCGATGTTCTCGCAGCCTCGCGCGTTGCGGGACATCACGCCGACAAAGGTCTCGTTGTTCGTGCTGTCGCCGCTGCATCCAGGGGAGACACGACGAGAGAAGATCCGCAACGCTTTGAAACGGTGGCACCCAGACCGGTTTGGGCGGTTATCGTCACGGATGGAGGAGGCGGACAAGGAGGCGGTGGAGGAGGGCGTTGGCATCGTCGTCCGATGTTTGAACGACCTCCTCGAGCGAGAAAGTCAGTAGATGGTACGTGCTCCGCAGCAGCATTCATATAATGGAGTACTCACTTCACGACTAGCAGCTATGCCATACCTTTGAAGCCCACGGCGGGGACGTGGTAGTATGCACCTATGCCAGCCTATGCCGTATGACCCCTATGTTGCATCCATCATCATTCGCGACCAATAGATCACACGTAGCTTTGCTGAACACCCCAACACCTCTTGAAGATAGCCCGTAGTGATCTGTTCAGGCAGAGAAACGGCGACTATCCATGCGCATGCTGTAGCAGATTGAAAGAGAAGGAAGTGGGAAACTCAGCAAGTACTTGAAGAAGTTCAAGTTCCGAGTCGTCCTCCCGCAGAACGCTTGCGGAACCCTATCTAGTAGTGGAGACGCCCATACAAGCAGAGACAAATAACGCGTGCGCCTATAGTCGCTGCAAGGCGGCCTGAACTGCAATTGCAGTTGGGAAGAACGAGCGAGCGAGCGAAGCCCAACAAGGGCCATGATACAAAAAGATCGACTATCATTTTTCTATCATGGTTACCTACGGGAGACTAAACAAGGGCTTACTAAGCGCGAGAGGCCGAATGCGGACCTGGGCGGATTTGGCTCCGGCGCCAAAGCACTTCTCTTCCTCCGCATTCGCCTCTCGCTTTCCAAGTCGCACCCACCCTCCACATCCCAGCGCCTTGATGGTGATTCGGACGTTCCACCTCGCGCTCGAGCGAAAACTTGGCTCGAAAGGCGACGCGTCGTATCTGAGTCGCGCAGATCAGACGTCGATAGGGCTCCTCCTCGTACGGGAAAACCCCAGCCTGAGCGCACGGTTTTCTCCCGCGCGCAAGTCCTCCATGGACGCCGTTCTCCTCCGAGGAAGCGTTACAGAACGCGAAGACTTCCTTGCGAGAGCGTCCTGACGACCTGAGTTGGGAACCCGTCATTTATCCCCAGCTTGCGCACAGGATTCGGAGCCCAAGACGCGCGCAACTCACGCCTCAAAGGAGGCGGTCGAACTCACCGTAATCTCGTCTCCGCCCACCCACGAGCGGTGATGAGACCCGCGTTGTATCGTCACTGCTGTACACATGAGCTATGGCTAATCTCGCGATACTTAGGAAGCCTCGTCCGCGTCCTATCATGCCGTCTCCTGGATGGCTCCTACAAACCCACTTGCCAGGAATGCAGCGCAGGCAAGGGGTCCATCAGACAACAAACGTGCAGAGCTCAGCTTGAAGCGTAGGCTATCCATCTGCCTCGATATGGCTCAAAGCATTCTAAATAACCGACTCCGCGCTGACTATGATGTAACAGACAACTGAAAACCCGCCCGGAATGTGGACCAAATGATAGCATCTTGTATGCCTTGGTTCCAGGCTCATTGATTGGCGTTCTAAAGTTCAACGATTTGCAATCTTAAGGCATCCCTCTTCCAGGCAAGATGTCAGTCACAGGACGCCTCTGAGACAACAAACACGGAGAGAAGCTCAAGCACGCCGCACTTAGGCCATTTATTTGCCTTGATATGGTTCGAATCGTTCTTATGCTCGACACCGCGCTGACTGTGATGTCATGAACAGTGCAACGCCTCATGAACTTCTCATCAAAGCTAGACCGAATGATAATGTTCTACAAGCCTTGGTGGTAGGCTAACCGATGGGTCGCTTGGAGTTCCCCGACATGCATTGTGAAGTCTACATATATAAAAGGGACCGTCGCGATGACTCGGACACGGTAGTCTTGCCGCTCTCCTGCCTCAGTAAGTATGTTAACGTTTCGTTGGTTTCATCACTGATCTGTGCTCCGCAGATGAGGAAATACGTGCTATCATCCCCTCAGTGGGTTGTTACCCGCATCGTCAATCCCGCCACATTGGACGTGTGGTTCAGCGACGACAAGGCCGTCCTGGACGTGAAGCGCGGGGGAACGAGCACTTCCTATCGCTTGATCGCGCAGACACAAGGTTTCCTGGATATCACTGAACTAGAGCTGCCAGTAGCCGCTTCAGATCTGGCAGGATCGGATCCTATCACTGTCCTCGATTTCAATGACAGACGTATGCTCTGGTCGGTGACCAACCGGATTCTCCATATCACGCTCACTCTCCCGGGTGACGGGACGTTCGCGGCAACAGTCACCCTACCTGGAAGCAGTGACTACTGGTCCGTCTCTGGCTCCTTCAAGCCATTCCCCGTCGTCTCCGCAGCAGACGCCGCGTACATCGACAACATGATTGCACAGAAGTACGTCCCGTACCCGAACGTTCCGGAGGAGCCTGGGAAGACGGACAGCGAAATCAGAGAGCTGGGACGACGCTTCTTCCCTTGGTCGCCTCACAGCTACGAGCTCGCCATGTGCGTGTACGACTGGACAACAGCCTCGTTCATGCGCATGGTCCTCTTCAAGATCTTTCAATACACCTCCGTTCCACACGCTCCTCCTCCGAGTCCGCTCGACTTGTCCTCCATCTCGCGCATGATCTGGGAGTCCAACTGGGACTCCTACCAGCCGCAGAACACAGCGTACATGCACTCCTTCATGATGCACCCCGCATCCTCACAGCGGGACGTCGACACCCAGCTCGCGCGCGTGTTCCCCGAGCTCTACCGGTTCAGCGAGGTCCAGAACCGCCTCCTCTCCGCCGCCGTACACGCCCTCCCCCGCACCTGCACCGTCGCGCGCCCGTACCTCTTCAGCGGGCAGGTCGACATCCGGCAGATGGGCATGAGCCGCTTCGGCGCGGAGCTGCGCGAGTTCCCCGGCAACGCGGGGCCTGTCGGGCGGCCGCTCGAGATCGAGTTCGCCGCCGCGGTCGCGAGCTTCCTGAAGCCGGGCTCGGTCGTCACGACGAAGGCGTGCTGGTCGTTCACGGACCGCGAGGCGGACGCGCGCCACTACTCGAACGGCATCCTGCTCGTCGCGGAGCCGCCAGACCCAGACGACTCTGCGTCGCTCGTGTGGGACGCGCCGGGGTACGTGACGGAGCTCTCGAACGGCGCGGAGAAGATCGAGTGGGTGTTTCCACCCGGATCGAGGTTCCGTGTGCTGTCGGTCGAGCAGGACGGCGGTATACAGGCTATACGCTTGCGAGTAGTACCGCCCACGGCGCGCGCGCAAGTGGCGGATGCAGAGAAAGCGCCGTCCGCCGACTCGCATGCGGAGAAGAATACGGACTGGCAAGATGCGTTACGGACGGCTCTCGTTGCTGAGAAGACCATGTTGGGTGCGGAGGCGAGCCGCGCCGTTGTGCATGCTGTCAGAGCTACCATCCCAATTCTTGCAAGAGTGCCTCGGGGCGAGCCACCGAAGGTCGACCACGTCCGTGCTAATACCACTTACGGGAGGCGGTGTCGCTGCGTTGAGAAACAACAGGGGTGTGCCTGGTACAGCAAGCTGTATACGTATGTCATTTCCGTCTGGAGGTCGCTAGTACTCATGCAATAGCTGCTGTTCATACACGTCGCACGATATCGGCCGCTGCGGGATGCGCCCGGTGAAACCTGTGGACCTGAGACGCCTCGTAAACAGACTTTAGCAGTTCTAGGCCACTTCAACCGATACTGTGCTTACTTTCCAAGTCTTGTCGGTCACTTTCCCCACGCACGAAGTAGAAACGGACCAAAAATACGCTTCGGCGACTCGCCCTGCAAATGCACTTTACAACACTGCCCCAGTGAGGGTCGAACTCACGACCTTCCGATAGCTTTGGGTGTAATCTTGAAGCCCTTAACAGTCGGACGCTGTAACCAACTCAGCCATGGGGCATATATCCAAAGGTTTTGCTTGCTACTAGAACCAGGGGAGGTGTGGGGGTTTACCCGGACCGTTTGGAGCAAGTTAGCGAACTTGATCTCTTCCTCCCACCCGTCTGTTCTCTGACGCTGTTTCTGGCGATGCCGCGCACTCACGGAATGGTCGAAGCGGGACAGAACTCGGAGAAGTCACACCGCTGAGAGCCGCAAGCTCCGTAGACCGAACGTGGAGAAGCACTGTCAACGTTGAACTTTCAAGTAGCATATGCTACCTTCACCGCACCGCGGAGTACTAGCAACGTACCCGCTCCTGCGTAGCTATGAGGTCTTCGATTTGCTCACACTCACAAGGCGTCATACGTGGTACTGCGAATATCCAGTCACCAAGGAACCTCCTCACCCTTGAAATTGAAAAACTTCCCTGTTTTCTCCGGGGTGAGCGACTGGATGACGTTGAGCATTCCGCCGGCACCGACCGATACGGGGTGCGTTGCGCCTGGTCCACCCATATCTAGCGGTGCAGAACTCGTGAGGTGGTTTACACTACAAAGATACCTTCAACGTTGACGTACCTGTCTGCAGCCACCCGGGACACATGCTGACAACCGTGATGTCCGGACGATCCTTCGCCAGTTTGTATGTCTATCGAGGCCGGAGGTATCAGTCTTGAGTAGTGAAAGCTTGTTAGTCAATGAAACACCACACCAGCATATTGAGCGCAGCCTTCGTGACCGAGTACGATGCGTGCCACGCGCCGAAGTCAGAGCCGACGCTCCCGAGTGTGCTGGAAATATTGACGATCGTCTTCTTCCGGCTCTTCTCGAGCAATGATCGGAATGCTTGGGCGACGTATGCAGGCCCTGCGACGTTCGTCTTGAAGACTTCTACCATTGTCCCAACGTCCATCGAGTACGCGTAATCTTCGTGACCGGTATTCTATCTGCAGCGTCAAGTACCGAAGCGCATGAAGGAGAAGTGAGATTACGAACAACGGCTGCGTTGTTGACAACGTAGTCGACACCCTTGTCTCCGATGATCTGTGCAACTTCGTTGGCACAGGCACGGATCGACCGCTCGTCGTCGACAACGAGCTTCACGACGTGCAGCTGTCCTTTCGCGTCGTTCGCGAGCTCATTGAGCGCGGTGGCGTTCAAGGGGTTCCTGCAGGCAGCAATGATGGTGTTGAGCGGGGATTCGAGCAGCTGACGTGTCATTTCCAAGCCGATCCCCCGGTTTGTCCTACGATATTGTGGTCTGGTGAGAACGCCAACGGCTCGGAAGCGCAGCAAGAACACGCGTGAGGCGTACCCGGTTATGAACCATATGTTATCCGTTGTAGAAGACATGTCGTGATAGGGATCGTCAAAGCACCTTGTAAACGGTGGGGAAAGGGGGCCGTTTGTTTGAAATCTGAGTTCGACAGAGCCGCAGCTGGGGTCTTTTGTAGGCCTTGCGTGGGAGGGACTAGGTTCAAACTTTGACCAGGACAGACTCCGTGAGAGCGTGAGACATGGGAGGTACACGGACTTGAAAGCGTCGGCGCGGGACGGCGTCCATGATGATGGTGTGCGCACTATGCGGGTGGGGAATCGTGTGCGATGATGGGCCAAGTGCGCGCCATGTCCCTCGGACCTGCGTCTAGGAGTTCTAGTACTTATTGGGCGTTGCTCGTATGAGGCACGTTGTCCAAATCCTAGGACTCGGCGGCCTCCAACCACACTTATTGACGCATCACCTCCGCCGGGTTCTAAAACGATATTGACGCGGCGCGCAAACGCGTGGTAGCATCAGTACAAATCATGGCCACAGAGTCAGTAAACCTGGTAGAAAGTACTGATTGCATGGCGATCTCCCATAGAAGAGTCGTATGTCGCAGTAGTAGCAATCAGCAAGAACAAGACAGTGAGTCGGAACTTAGGGAAGACTAGCTCTCGACGCTTGGTTTCAAGATTGGTGTGCACGACTCACATTTTCCCCCTTCTACTCAGCCAGAAAGTGAATGACCGACTGAGATGAGCACAGAGACGAGGTCAACGCTGTAGGCACCGAACGTGACGCATATACCCAGCCTCAGGCGAATGCGGAGAGGAGCAGAGGCAAAGGGTGCCAGACGCCCAAGCCGCATTCAGCCTCTCGCGCCAGCTCGCGCGCGGCGCCCTTGGTTGGGTCATGCTCGCAAGCTCACATGTATGTCCCAACTTCTAGGGGCTCATTTGCACGATGGTGCCCATCGTCGAACTTGGATATCTAGATAAACTCGCCATCTCGTCCTCAATGCGCGCGCACTGGAGTCGCACACTCACGCACCCTCCGTCGACGTCTGCCTGCCACCTAGCTCGCCTTCTTCCCTGTTCTTGCCTCCCTTTCTAACACGACCGTCGCTGTCTCCAAATCCCTCTGCTTGTGGACATAGCCCTCCGTGCGCAGGTGTACGCATCTTCCTGACTCTCTCGCTACCCTCCCGCGGCGGGTTTGCACTCTCTGGCTCATCTCCTCTCCCTGTGACTCCGACTCGTGCCCTCACGCGCACAGACGGATCGGACCGTCTGGAAGTACGTCTTTTTGGGAACTACAAGCGTACACAGGCGTGCACGCCGTTGCAGGGCTCCTGGACGCGGACTCTAGAAGACTAGGTGAGTTCCCACCCTATCGCACTCAGCACGTCTGCGATACATGTACACAGCCAGTCCTACACCCCCGCACCACACCCCTCTTCCCGCGCCAGACTCCCCCTCCTAGCCCTCTCCTGAGCTAGGTTACGACGAATCGCGACGCTGGACACACCAGGAACGCATTGGACGGCAAGAAGAGAGCTGAAAACGTATCGGTGGGTCAGATCAGGGTCAGATACGTCCCGTCCCCGCTGCCTCTCCGACTCTCACTCCTCCGGCCCTCTCCTCGGACAAACCTTGACGACACCCCACTTCTAAACGTGAACTCGCATCAACCTTCGTAGACTGCAAGAAACAAACCCGGAACGCACCAGTCGTGAGTCCTTGTCCTCCGCTCGCCCCTGGAAAGCACGGGCCAGAAGATTGCTAAAAGTTGGCGTAGTCACAATCATCTGTTGTACCTCCATCACGCATACATCCCACCCAGTCGCAGATGCACGCCTACGGACGCGTTGGTGGACTTGCAGATGAATAGGGTAACACATACCGGTAAATGACACTCATACCCTTGAACCTTCACATATTCGACGTGTCTGCGTCTTTCCCGCGTGGAAAGCACTGCAGAGGGTTCTTTCCGGAACCATGAAACCAGCTAAGATAGCACACCGATACCGGCACAAAAAGTGAGTCCTTCGAACCGGGATCGAACCAGTGACCTTGGGATGACGATGTGTAACCATTACAGTCCCACGCTCTTCCAACTGAGCTATCGAAGGTTATAAGTTGTGAGATCCTTGACAGCTATACTCGGTAGTATCTAGCTTATGGATACCACGACCTCGACGCACGTCTCGACTCTCGAGGACTCAGTCGAGTATACTTCGATGATTGATCACCGCTCTTGAATCTTCTATGACTTAAACTAATAGGAATTTACGCCACTGCCAACAAACCTGCAGATCTCTCATACGACATACTCCAGTACTTTTTCGCAGAACTGCCCGCGGTCGACATTCTCCACGACCGTGTTTCGTTGTCACGGCACTGGCAGCTCTACTACCCATTGATTGTTGATGCATGTATAATACTGTCATTGTATAGCTAAAGAGCCAGTACTAGTACTCGGTGGACAGTACTCACTTCTTCCCACCAGGGAAATGCCGCATGTCGTAGGTCCGAGTGGCAGTGGCAGTGAGCAAGGAAGGAGACACCCGGGCCAGAGCTCGGATGTCTTCCTTAAAGATCTCTCTGCGAGACTCAAACTTGTTGACTGGCTCTATCGGCTTTTCAGTTCTGTCGCCTCCTAGTACGTGTCACACAACTTGTTCCTCATGCCTCTATTGCGAACGACTGACTGGACCATAACGAATCCTCAGGCTTGTCGCGTCCTGCACGTGCACTCTCGACCTCGGGTTGCCCTCGACTCTGAGAGGTTGTCGAAGAATTACACCATTAGCGCGTCATAGGGCGACTCGGCCGATGGCATGACACTGGCCGGGCTATCGATCGGAGGCCTAGGGCTTGGGGTAGGACTTCTAGTGACAGCTCGTCCCAATCCGACGGTGCAAGATGTGAAGACCCAAGAGTCTTGTGTCGCATATATATACCCCCACGTCGGCCGCCCCTCCCCCCACCATCGTTCTTCCAGCTTTCACCATGCATATGAACTTCGCTCGTCTCTCTCTGCTCTCCGCTGCTGCCCTGTACATGACCGTTCCGGCGGTCCAAGCTGGACCAATCGCTTACGGGATATGCCAGACCGGTGAGTGCACTCCTCGGACGCTCCACCCATATTCTGTGCTCATATGCGTTGCCGTAGGCTGCAACTCTGTAGCCGTCGCCTGCTATGCCGCCGCGGGGGTCGTCTTTGGCACCGTCACCGCTGGTGTTGGAGTCCCACCCGCCATTCTAGCCTGCAACATGGCTCTCGGGGTGTGCTCTGCCGCCTGCGCTACTGTGGGGCTCTTCGCTCCGACTCCGTAGACGATAATTGCCCGCGCATCAAGGTATGCTACTTGCTGGAATCCGTTGCCAACGTCTGAGGCTCACCTGTCTCGTGACAGCGACGGATGTAAGACACGGAGAAGAAGCTCGTTGCGGGAGTCCCGTCTTCGCCATCGTCATGTCAGTGTAAGATTAGAAATGTGATAGTCGACTTCATCATCGCAATGGCACGGCCCAGTACAAAGAGAGTAGGCTACAAGCCGAGTACAGACGTGATGATACTCTTCACTCGACGTCGAATCGCTTCCGATGCGTCTCTGCTCGCAAGCGATAAGCAGCCGCTCATCAGTGCTGCGGTAAGCTCTCATTGGACTACGAATGCTACGAGCAGTAACATCCTCTGTGCAGGTAGTAGGACTGCCGTATGCACCCACCCCGTCGACCCTATATATGAGTG